CATTTGAAATCGTCAACCTTTTAAAAAGAATGAACAAAAAAAAAATGTTTGCTCCTAGAAACTGGGAGAGCCGATTCAGAAGCGATACACGGAGGCAGAGGAGCGGCCAAAAGCTTTGGATGAGCTCGGAAGGCAAATCCAGCAGTACACGAAAGTCGTCGAGGCTTATAAGGCCAAGGTAATCACTCATTAAGTCCAGTCACATTTATTTATATAGCGTTTTATACAATACAGAAGTTTTCAAAGCAGCTTCACATTAGCAAACCGTAAAATAAAAGTAATAATATTGTTAAATTGAAACATTTAACTTCAGCTGAAAAGCAGCTCTACAAGAAGACAAGTCTTTTTTTTTTCAGGGCAAGATTTAGTTCATTTCAATAACGGTGTCAAAGTTCGTGCTTGTTTTGTTTTCATCCAATATGTCAGTGCAATTGAATCGATAAAATTACTGAATATTAAAGGTAGGGTAGGTGATTTCGGAGAGGCTAGCAATAGCACGCTAGCTTTGAAAGCATAAGATCTCACCCTCCCTGCAAATCACTCTCCAAAGCCACGCCTCCTCCAAAATACAGGCAGCGACATGATGAGAGATGGTGTTGGTGGAGGATTGAATGCAACGCTGTCAGATTACATCATGTCGCAAAAAATTTATGATAATAACGGCTGCCATTCTCGCTCGCTCTGCAGTAGCGTAATGGAAAGCGCTGATGATGCAGCATGTCTGCGTGAACCGGGTGCATGCAGGTTTGCAAATACATACACTGACAGGCAGGTAGGACAGCCTATCGTAGCCCTCGGACTGAGAGATATGATTGGACGAACATTTTATGTGCTATGACTTCCACAGACAATATAAATACATTTAGACCAGTTAAATTAGTGATTGCTGTTGGGATGTGAAGAGACTTTCAACCAGCATAACAAAACATTTTTTTGAACCAGATAACCTACCCTGCCTTTAAGTGTCTTTTAAACCCCATTAGTTTCTTTCATAGGGTAACATTGTTGAAAACATTTGGATGAATCACATTATTTGTTATCTCTAAACTCAGGATGAGCTGTATGATCATTTGGATGAGCTGGAGATGATGAAGGTGGACAAGCAGGTGAATGAAACCATGACCTGGATGAACAACAAAATGAATCTGCAGAGCAAACAGAGTCTCAGCCAGGACCCTGTGGTTAAAGCTCAAGAGATTCAGGCCAAAACAAAGGTACAGACTTCATTTAGTATTTTGGTTATCCGTATGGCTCAAAATCAGCTAAGGGGTACTTAAATGTAACAAATCATGTAAAAATGTATTATGTTTTATTGTAAAATGATAGTGAGAAGATACTGATCAAACTACATTATATAAAAACACCCGTCAAGTTCCAGAAATGTCAGCATATGAGAGTTAAATTGGACGACTACATGGACTCACACTCATTTAACAGTTCTAATCTATCGCCAAAATTAGGAAAAATTATTGAAAATATTCAAATTAGGAATGCCAGAATCCTAGTCAGAATGTGTGGTTTGTACATAAAAAAACAAAAACTATGTATTATGTAACTCCTTGTGTATTATGTACATTAAGGTCTCTGACAACAGCATGTTTAAGCCGCTCAGGCCGCTATTTTCTCCTTCTCAGAAAGATGACGATGACGTAGTCAAAACATCTGGCAGTGGGGTTTTTCCAGGATATGCATGTACTCGCTGGACCGCTTGTGAATACTACTGTGTATTGTGCACATTCGTTTTTGACAGACATTGATGTCATGATATTCAAATTTGTGGATTTGAAAACATGGATCTTTAGGTAGTAATTATTATTTCTTAACCAGCAGCAGGTATTTAGTGAAGTGATTGATGCCTGTGAGTGTTATGTCCATGTTTTTAGTTCTAACATTCCAACCGGCAACCAGCCTAAAGCTGCGGTCACGCTAGACGTCAAGCGTGCAACATTTCTTCAGTCCTTTTAAAAACTTGAGCTGCAGAATTAAATTTCTGTTCTTTTAATTCAGCTACGATGTATCAATCTGATACGAGTTCGCAGATCACAGTTCTCCAAACTCGAACTTTGGAACACAGCGACTTCGCATGAGCTTGCTTTTCCGCTCGCCCGCATTTGCATGCGTATGATGGACGCGATAATGTGTGTAAGGGGTGAGAATATGTTTGATTTCTGGGTATTATTAAACACGTTGGAGATGTTCGAAATGCTTTTTGTGTAGCTCATTATACTTATTTTACAGAATAAAGCTAACTTCATGACTTCTCTGACATGTTTGGCTTGTCAAAAATGTTACGTTCTGTAACATTTACTGTTGCAAACTTGTTAACTTTTTTTGTAAATCAAGTTAATTTTTACTAGGTAAGGAGTGGTTTTGATGCACAAAGTTGTCTTTATGGTCTCTTATAACACAAATATTTTATTTAAACCCATGAAAATGCAGATCCTGCTGTAAATACTCATGAAAAATCACTTTTTAAACCTGTTGTTTCAGTCCCCTTAGCAGGTTTTGACCCATGTATGTCCTCTTGAGAACTGAATCTTCTAACTATATCTTCATCGTTACACAGGAGCTGTATTCTGCTTGCAATCATATCGTCACCAAACCCAAGCCCAAAGTGGAGCCTCCAAAGGAGGAGACTGCAGCCGAACAGAATGGCCCTGTGAACGGACAGGAGGGTTCAGAGGCCCAAACGAGCAACCCAGAGAAGGGCCAAGCCGCCCCAGAAACCACAGAGGCCAAGCTTCCTGAAATGGACATCAACTAAGTTCGCTCGGCCCTCTTCTGCGTCTGCACCAGCCTCTTATATGCCTCAGAGTTCGAAGAGAAAAAAAAAATAAAAATAGAACATTAAATTTGGTGAAGCAGGCTGCCCAATTCAGTTCTCTTGCTGTCGGTGGCATGTTTCTTTCGGTTTTGCTGTTTAAAAACAGGATGCACAGAGATCCAATCTCCCTTTTTTTGTTTCTTCAAACAGGAAAAAACATGTTATAGATATAGGACGAGAGCCTGGTCTTTGTCGCTTTTTTAATATCCACAGTTCCAGTATCCTGAAAAGAAGGCGGACAGGATTATAAAGTGGGATGGACTGGTTTAGTGCGGTTTAATGGATGACATTTTTCTGTTCTGTTCTGTGTGGAGAGTTTATTGGCATTGAAGATTTGTTGCACAGACCAACTTCTCAAGTGAAGTTTCTAACTACCAGATTTTGGTGAAGAAGCACTGAGCATTTCTCGAGGCAGAGGCATGAGCTGCACTGTATGTCCGAGTAGAGTTGAGTTACTGTTAAGCAGTATTTGGTTGTAAAAGGTGTATGGTCGCTTTTGGGTTATCCCTGTTTGTTTTCCTTTTCTACTCTGCAGCCTGTGTGAATGGTGGAAACTAATGTGGTGTTCATTCCAGTCACGAATTATGAGAATAAACCATTCATTTTGGTATACAGACAACATCACGGATTGTAACGGATGTACTGTACATACTGGTTTACTATTAGTGTAATTACAATGTCAGTTTAGTGAGGTGAAATAAAATCATCAGGAATTTTGACCATCACATGTGTCACCAAAACAATATC